TGATTTGTTTTTGAATTTAAAAGAATTTTAAATATTTTAATATGGTTCACTTTTATTTTATGCTTTCGCAGTTTTAAAAAATTATAATTTCCTTTTTTTATACTTCACTTAATTGCTACACCCTGTATAAGCTTTTGTCTGTTTTCATTAATTTCAAATAAGCAACGTTTACACAGCAAAGCGCAACACAAAGGCTTTTAAAACAGCTCAAAAAAGGCAAAATAATTGCACAGAAAAAAAAAAAAAAAAACAGATAAGCAAAAAAATTAAATAACATTCTTAACCCACTTAATGAGGCCGCAGCGTAAACCGGATTTGAAATGCATTCAATTAAAAGCGATGTAATTCGAATGGCATAGTTACAAAGCGAACGGGCTAAATACGTATCAGTTATTGTAAATGTCCTATAAGCCTGAATAGTTGTTGCATGCATTCAGATCAATCAACTGGAATAATCGTTGGAGGGCAAACAAAGAGCCATGCAGAAGGACTGGGGGCATGCGGCGTTATGGGCACACGGCATAAATCGAATGAAATAATTATGAAACTTATTGGCAAATTGAAATTGACTTGAAAGAAATGCCAGAAAAAAAATTGATAAATATGTAAACTCGATTTGGTTTCGATTCTCAGTTTGCTCTGGGTTTCGGGTTGGGCCTAACACTATGCTTGGGGTAATTAATTATCATAACTGACTGCACAGTGTGCACAGTTATTAATTTAGCTGCAGTCTATGGCAGTAGTTGTTGTTGTTGGTTGTACTCACATTTATCCTGACGCCGACGGCGACGGCATATGCAAATGATGATGCAACAAATGATGGCGACGGCCAGCAGGAGCAGCAATATGACAGCGACCAGTATAATGAGCGTCGTTTTATCCCATCTCTGCCACCAGGCCAATTGTTCTAGATGAAGAGAGTGTGAGAGAGTGAGAGAGAGAGAGGGGGAGAGAGAAAGAGAGATAGAGCATTGTATTAAAATGTGTTGGTATATGTTTGGCAGCAGTCTTTAAGCACACACATGGCGAAAACTTAACAATGCATGCAATTCTTAACCAACTGACAGCTGACAGCTAAGCCCAATGCTGCCTACTTAACTGACTGACTGACTGACTGACTGACTGATTCACTGACTGACTGCCGTTTGCAGTTGCTAACTTTAATTTATCAACTTGTCACATGGTTTTGCCTTGCCTGGCATTAGCCATGCAGCTGCAGCCGTAGCTGCACACACGCACACACGCACACACAGATGCACAGATGCATTTGATATATTACTTACACAACTTCAGGCCAGAGCATAGCCCAGTTTTCCATCCCCACACATCCACCCCCCTACCCCCACGCATTGTGGCATTGTCTTATGGAATTGTGCTAGGCAGCTGTAGCCGCATCCTTCAGCTCGCTTGTTTCTCATTGTTTTCCATATTTGCTATAATTCAGCTGTTTATCATCCAAACAAATGAATTGTCTTTGCCAGCAGCTCTCTCGCTCTCACACACATGTGTGCGTGTGCATGTGTGTGCGTGTGTGTGTGTGGCAGCTGGCTTTGTTCCGTGGCAGCGTTTATCTATGTTTGTTTTCCGAGTGTATTCACATATGTTATGAGCTATTCATTTTGGCATCGTATGCGGATTCGCGTGTCAACAACATTTAGCAGCAGCTCCTTCTGCGACCCGCCTCCTGCCCAGCCCCCCTACTCCTGCTGCTCCTACTCTATTCGTATCTTATGCAATTAAACAAGCGAACGAGCGAGCGACAAATGAAAAATGGCGGCTTTTAGTTATAGTTCGGTGTGCGTGTGCATGTGTGCGTATGTGTGTGTGTGGGTGTGTGTTATATGGATTAGCATTGGATTGTGGTAGAGCAGCCGCTTTTATGTATTTCTCTGCCAGCTGCGGCTTTGTTTATGGCTTTAAACTAGTTTTTAGCTGCTCATTACATGACTAAGAAGCGAGCTATGCATTTCTGGGAATTTTTTAATACTCTCTGTAATTTCGTATTCATAGCTAAACAATTTGTAGTTCAATTTTAATCACTTAACATGCAGTTACTTACTTTTTGGTCGCACTAATCAGTTAGAAGCATTTTCAAATGAGCATTACGAGTGATAAGCAAAGGGTAAAAGACAGAGAGAGAGAGAGAATATTCGCAAATATATATATGTTAATACAGAGGATACTCTTTGGTTATTTCTGGTGCTAAATTTGGAGTTTTACTCGAACTAGAACGGGGGGAAAATGAAACTAAGAAGATCAACTCAAATCAAATCAAAGTACTGTGAGCATATGTGCTGGGCATTTACCTCGCCACCAAATGTAAAGTGCTGAACCAGCTGTTAATATACGAGAAATACATCAAAATATAAAATATGAAAATAAAAA